CTACACTACACTACACTACAACTACAACAACGCAACTACACTCCACTACACCAAATTACACTTCACTACACTACACTCCACTACACTACATTACACTACACTACACTACCTTCCACTACACTTGACTACATTACACTACATTACACTACACTACACTGCGCTATACTACAACTCCAACTGCACAACTACACTCCACTACACTACATTACACCACACTACACTACACTACCTTCCACTACACTTGACTACATTACACTACATTACACTACACTCCACTACACTACAACTACAACTACACAACTACACTCCACTACACTAAATTACACTACACTACACTACATTACACTAAACTACACTACATTACACTCCACTACAACTACAACTAGACAACTACACTCCACTACACTCCATTACACTACACTACACTACATTACGCTACACTACACTACAGTCCACTACACTCCACTACACTACATTACACTACATTACACTGAATGACACTGCACCACAGATAGACAGGTAGACAGCTAGACAGATAGACAGATAGACAGATAGATAGACAGATAGACAGCTAGACAGATTAGACAGATAGACAGATGAAAGAGAGAGAGAGAGATAGATAGATCGATAGATAGATAGATACATAGAAGATAGATAGGTAGGTAGGTAGATAGTCAGAGAAAGAGAGAGAAAGAGAGGAGACCTCAACCACCTTTTGGTCCATCAGTGGCTTCGCTCTGCCATCCCTGATTCACAACAACCAGTCTCTCCTATAGGTTTCCAATTTTTGAAACTTCCGCCACCGCCTTGTGCGGTACTACTGGTAAAAATATCAAGCATAAAGGTCCCATGTTTGGTGCGCTGTCCAATCTATCTCAGGCCTGAGCAGCAAGATGCACCACGGATCCGGGTCCCGTCGTGCTTGTATATTGGGTGAGTCATTGTGTTGTGATGGCAGGGTGGGGTCAGTACCAGCTACCTCTGCCAGGTTCAAGTCCTGCCTCAAGATGATGGTGCTCCAGTGTTTTGGCTAAAAGACATGGCAAGGAACCATTTTGGATGTCCTTGGTATCCCAAGAAATACAGGGTTTGGCAAGTTGAAGCATAGCAAGGTTCAGAAAAAAGACAACAATCAGCACAGGATGGAACTGAAGCTCTGAGGCTACGACCAAAATTATCTTCGATTTGTGACGAACACACACAAAAGGGGGTCCGGGCAGGCCTCCCGCATTTGTATCGTCCGACCGGAACTTAGAACCCAACTTTGGAAATTTGCCATACCCCGAAAAAGTACCCGTTTTTGCCCGCTCAGATTTCGGTAACATAGATAAAATTATGACGGTTTTACGTTTTGCGAAATTGTTCACCGCAATCAGAATTTAGAACCCCTACCAAAAATGGCTGAGTAATATGATGTGTTGTTTGATGGATTGAACGAAAGATTCTACCTAAAATCATCACAAATGGGTGGTACATGTCACTGTAAAAAACATCCCCAAATGATAGGTTTATTCTTCGGTTTGCCATGGTCTTGCCACATGAAAGTGCTTGTTTGTTCTCAGAAAGCGTTGCCAAACTCGCAACCGCCCCTTGTCATTTCTATTCGCACAGTCAGAAAGGTGGATGAAGGCATGACAAGGTAAAACATGCGTGCAAACTGCAGACAGCAATTTAGCTACCCATAAAATGTTTGGAAATGGTTGGAAATAATTTACACCTACATACATATGTATATGTAAAGTACATATGTACATATATACATATGTATATATATTTTTTCTCAAACTCCTGGAATCCAAAAATGGGGAAAATTGAATAGTTTGGGTGTTGACGCACTGAAACTTAGAACCACCCGCATATACCAGTATAGAGGGTAACATATAGAAAGGTAAAGGTGCCCCTAAAAACAATGTCTTCTTTGAAAAGGGTTTGAATAGATATGCTATATATATATATCTATATATCTATCCCTTTTCCTACAGAAATCGGGAGCTGAAATAGAGCACAGAGCAAATGTTTGGTGGGAAATTCCATCCACTGGTGTTTTAGGAGCTAAATGAAATCCTATTGGCAATTGAGCTACCCATAAAATGTGGGGAAATGGTTGGAAATAATTCACACCTACATACATATACATGTACATATACATATACATGTACATATACATATACATATACATTTACATATACATATACATATACATATAAATATACATATACATATACATATACATATACATATACGTACACACATAAATATATATATATATAAATACATGTCTTTTCTAAACTCCTGGAATCCAAAAATGGGGAAAATTGAATGGTTTGGGTGATGACGGACTGAAACTTAGAACCACCCGCATATACCAGAATAGAGGGTAAGATATGGAAAGGTAAAGGTGCCCCTAAAAACAATGTCTTCTTTGAAGAGGGTTTGAATAGATATGCATATATATATATATATAAATCTTTTCTTACAGAAATCGGGAGCTGAAATAGAACACAAGACAAATGTCTGGTGGGAAAAACATTGCATTGCGTGCATCCACTTGTGTTTTAGGAACTAAATGAAACCCCATTGGCAATTGAGCTACCCATAAAATGTTTGGAAATGGTTGGAAATAATTTACACCTACATACATATGTATATGTAAAATACATATGTACATATATACATATGTATATATTTTTTCTCAAACTCCTGGAATCCAAACATGGGGAAAAAAAATATATATTTATACATGTTTTTTTCTAATCATCTGGAATCCAAAAATGGGGAAAATTGAATGGTTTGGGTGTTGACGGACGGAAGCTTAGAACCACTTTCCCCCACATATAGCAAAGTCATGAAAATCTATGAAAAATCATTCTAAGTTGTTCCCAAACCCCCCTGAAATTGACCTAGTTCTATCTTCGGGGTAAAAAATTGGAAAACTGCAAGACATTCTAAGTTTCAGTCGGCTAATATATGCAGTTTTCATAGCAGATAGGGTGAGCTTGTCTTGCTTCTCTGCATGAGCTCAATGTGAGTCCGACTGTGGAAAGTGCAAACTGCAAACTGTTGCATTGTTTTTTGGTCTCTGGGGATTCACATAGCTCGTTTTCTGCTTCTGCCCAAGGTTGTTTAAACACGCATTTTCACTGTCAATCCTATACCTGGAAACAGGTATAATGAAGCTGGTGTACCCGGGATCCGAGTGCAAAGAAATCCGAAGTCAAGTATATGATGTATGTATCGAACAAGTATCATTGCTTTTAGAAGTTCTCGGAGGATCTTTTCCTTTTTTCTGAGGAACGAAAACCTCGCATGACACCTTATAAACATGGTGCCATCATGACACCTTATAAACATGGTGCCATCTTATGCCGAGTGACTTGCCGATTGCCATGAATGAAATTATATATTATAATAATATATATCTATATACATATATATATAATATATATATACACATACATATATATATATAAAGTCGAGAAACACGGTCAGCAGTTGTCAGCTATCAGGAGATTTTATAGATACCAAGGCAATTCGAGCAAGTCGGGCAACATGGGATCGGGTCAAAATGTTTGGCCACAGAGAGCACGGATCAACTGGCCATTTCTAGCATCATCCACATATTTTGGGCCCACTTTTGACCTGAGTTCTGGAGCTAGCACGGAGGTGCGAGCGCAACCACAGTAATTAGCAAGGAAACCGTCTTCACAACGCGAGTAGCGAGTGCCTTACTGGCCTGAAACTGGTCGAGGGCTCCGGGGGAAGCTTACCTCGACCAATCGCCCGGTATCCGGCAACAAGTGCAACAAGTGTGCGAATGAGCTCCTGAACCAACAGGTTTAAAATGATCACAACTTTGACCCCATGATGTGGGACATGGACCCTGGATGACCTGGATGACTGTGGATATCTGTGGATATTTGGCATTACCTTTTTTTAACATTTTGATATTTTGTAGTTATTTTTCAAGACTAAACCGTGGTTCGAACCTAGCGAGTATAGAAGCTGTCGAACGGCAAGACTCCGACAAGAGTCCACGTCGTGGCGTTGACCAGCGCCGGGACCAGCGGCCAAGGCCATGTCTCAATGATCACTTTGGAAACCACTGGAATCGAATGGAGTCCAAACCAAAATTCAATGGAATCTAGGAGATTCACGCTCCAACGGGCAACGTGATCACAAATGGAACAAAACTGGCAACTAGCAAATATCAACCATAGACCATAGATTCCATGTTGGCTGCGCAGGTTTCAAAACCAATGAGGATGCAAATCGACCATTGAGATTGGCCAAGCCGCAAAGGAAGCGAGCTACTGGGCCGCTGATCAAGGGAACCGTTTGCGAATCGTTTACGGACCACGTGCAGAGTTGCAACTGGCAGACCATGTTTGTAGAAGGTTTGGGTGTGCGTTTTCACATGCCGAAGTAGAACTTGATGGTCATCCACATGGTAATCCATTGGCAATGCCAACAGCCCCTGTTTTGACAACAACCCTTCTGTTGCCAACTTGTCGTTTCACAAATTTTGTGCAACTCATCGAATCACGAGACTTTATGTCGCGAGCATTTTGTTCGTTTCGAGACCTCTGAAATATAGAGGGTTTCTTGATGTTCTGCACGAAAGCCTTGCTCATTGTGAAATATTGTGAAATTGACATTTAAGCACGATGTGTACTGCATTTCGAGTGAAAGGCGAATTTGGTCAGGATACAAGCTAGTGATTGGACATGGGTGCAGGTTGCAGGGCAATGGAATGCAATGAATACATTTGATGCGATAAAGATACGTAGGTTTGATGAATCAGTCGGGATACCGGAGTTTTGCAGGAAGTGCTCATTCCAACACTATCACTGTACAGCTGGACTTATTTATCGGCGGTGAAAAACACGGCAAGTTCTGGAGTAAAAGCCTATGTTGGTTTGCGGTAGTATAGGTCCATTTTTTTGGCTGGGCAGTCCCACATGGGCGCGCTCAGATTCATAATGTGCAAGGTGTCCGCACTCACATTGCCATCCCGCAGTCTAGCCGCGAGATGAGAAAATGGCTGAGCGCGCCGGTCGCAGTCCGCTATACCCTTGGCGAAACAAGGTGCAGACAGAGATGCCCACCGAAACTCAGACGGAAGTCACGGTGATTTCTGCTGGCTTCTTTGACTGGGCTATCTTAAGCCCCCCAGGCCGCTTGATGATCTCAAGACAGATTATAGTACGGAGACTGGTCCACGAATGTCTTTCCGCGCAGAGGTAGATGAAGCTCCAAAGTTTCTGAGGACTTTCAGAAGCAACGAAGATAACAAAGGTTCAGATTCAGATGTTATCTTTTGCATGTTTGCGTAGCAATGATAGACTGCCAAGTCGACACAGTTTAGCTGAACAGCTGATGCCACAGAAGTCACAGATCTAATGTATCATACACAAGGATGTTTCTTTGTTTTGAATAATGTTCACATGGATTGAGCCGCGCAGAATAGTCAGATTTCAATCAAACTTTGACCCTAGGCTTTTTTGGGCACTGACTGCACTGTACCCAGCAAGTCCAGGTGGTCTTTTACAAGGGTGGCTGAGAGTGGCGATGGGATGACTGATGTGGCTAATTCTACCATGATTTAACATGCTTAGCCGCCTTAGCCGCATGTTTCTTCCAACACCACATCAGTGGACTTGATTGTGCCATGATTTCATCCGCTGAACAGCATGGGTGGAAAGCTACCATGGCTCTGCAACTTATTGGCTCCAGGGTTTCTTCACATTCCGAACACGGTGGGCCCTTCTAGTCTCACAGTCATGGCCACCAAGAAGCAATCCAAGGCGTTGAGGGCTGTTTAAGAGTCTTAAGAGTATAAGAATCCCAAAGCCCTGTGACTCAGAATGTTCTGCAGAAGTTCTGCACCTGACATGTACTGAAAATAGAGGAGGCCCCAACATTTTTAAAAGCATGCCATTCATTGATCTTGTTTTCATTCATCAGTTCACTATGCTTTTGAGCGATCAGGGCCTTCCCGATGCTGCCAGGCGTCAAAGTCGCAGGACTCCATCAATGTGTTTGGCTCAGTCTTGACTGTTCGGCCAATGATGTGTACTTTTTTTGTCGTAATCGTTGACCCTAGCAACCCAACTCAATGCTTAGGTTTTAAGCCTGTGTTTGTTGATGTTTTTTCTGTACTAGTTTTCGAGAAATCGAAAATTAATGGACAATGCAACCAATTTCCATGTAGCCAGCCCACTGATGCGAGTGAAGCCGCATTTTTTGCCAGTGGTACATTATCTCTTCGATGCACAGGTTGACCACCAACCCTTTGATTTTTGTGATTGGTGCCTTGCGGCATCCTGATTTCATCGGGTTTAAACCTTCGTCAAAGTAATCCATGTTGAACATTTTGGGTGAAAAAGGTAAAGCAAAAAGTCAAATCGAGATGGAAACTCCGTGAAAAAGAAAGAGGAAACACAAAAAACAAGAAGGAACAAAGGCGATCTTCCAGCGATTGCTTAAGATTTCCAGTTGGTAAAAGTCATATTTGGACCATTTTCCTTTCGGTGAAAGTCTATATAATATGTTCAGTGTTGGCTGGTGCAAGGCGCGATTGCAGCTGGTCATGAAGAGCGGAAAGTACAGCTTGGGCGTGAAGACCACTCTGAAGACCTTGAGGCAGACAGACTGGTCATGGTAGGCGCAGATTAAGAGGGGTCTTTTGGTTTCAAAGGAAGGTTGCAAAAGTCTAGACAGCTGCAAATTCGGAAAAAGCTTGGAAAATCAAGGGGCACCATCTAATTGGGCAATTTTTCTGAGTGCGATGGGGTGCAAATGCTGGGTTGTCAAGGAATCGTGATATGATTGATTATTACTGTATGACCCAGTTAGCTGCGTGGCTGAGTTTGCCAGGCAGGGCAAGTCCAAGTTGGTGTTAATCTCCAACAACTGCCCTGCATTGCGCAAGAGTGAGTCCTGACCCCAGAGATTTTAGATCCTGCAAAAAAAAGATAGGAACTAATGAACTATAAGATCTATAATTAAGCATATGGCAGTATATGGCATGTATTTGGATGTGGGATGCCATGATGCCATGCTAAATTCTGTAACAGCACTATTTGCGCTCAAGTCGTGTTGGCTTTGGAGGATCGAGTACTATGCCATGCTCGTGAAAGCCTCGTTTGGTACTGTTTCTGCTGGCACATCACAGGAGCATTTGGATTGTTTTGGATCAATCTGGAGCCTTTCAAGAGTTTGGCAGTCATTTCAAGCCCATCAACAAAAACACAGTTTCGTCGCTTTCGTGGCTCTGAAATGGCTTATGTCCATGTTTTCTTTCACATGGCAAGCGGACACTGATTTTCACAGTCTTTGGTGGTCAAGGCTAAGACTGGTGTGCACCACTTTCATGGTGACAACAACGAGCTGGGCACTGCATGCGGCCGCTACTACCGTCCCTCGCCCCCTACTATAGCGGCTATAGCGGTAGCGAAAAAAATGACACCTTGGAATTGGTTCAAAATTGTGATACATGCTGCTATATCAATCTAGATCATAAGATCCAGCCGTTCGCCTGAATTTGGGTGCTCAACATTTGCTGAATGTGATCACCCTGGTAGTGGAAGGTGTGCTTGGGGGTAAAGACTCAAGTGTGACACATACACATAATATAGGCGCGCTTACACAGATACATTGTGCAATGTATCACACACATGCACACCCTCATACGTACATACAGTACACACATTAATTATCATTATCATTAATTACATTGCATTGCAATTCAAATTACATTTCTTAACATTGCATTTACATTACTATTAAATTTACATTCACATCACATTACATCATGTTACATCACGTTACAGCACATTACATCATATTACATTGCATCATATTACATTACATCACATTACATCACACTACATCATATTACATCGCAATACATTGCATATCATTGCATCACATTACATCGCATTACATCACATTACATCACATCACATTACATACATACATTACTACATGAATAGATTGCATGACAGTACTACATTGATACAGTCATACATTCATACAGCCATACAGGTACATACATACACACAGACACACATACACACATACATACATACATACGTACGTACGTACGTACGGACGGACGTACGGACGTGCATACATACATACATACATACATACATACATACATACATACATACATGCATACATACTGTATACATACATGCATGCATGTCATACGCATATACAAATACATTTTTATTTACATATACATGTACACATATACAAGTACATACATATACATATACATTATACATATACATTTACATTTACATATTATATAAATTTTTCATTTTTGCATATAAAGTTTGTACACACACATAATATATCTATATACAAGTTTACATATACCTTTACATAATATAATATAATATACATATACACGTACTTACGTACGTACGAATGTACAGATGTTCAGACAAACAGACGGACACACGCACACACACGTACACACGTAGACACACACATGTACACACGCACACAAGCACACATGCACAGACGTAGACACGTACACAGGTATACACCCGTACTGACGTACAGGCGTATACATACATGTATCACACGGACATACATACATACCTATACACGTATATACTTACATACACACATCCATCCATGCATGCATGCATTCATACATATAATATACATACATACATGTAATATACATGCATACATACATACATACATACATACAGACATACATACATACATACATACATACACACACACAGACACACATGCACACATGCATACATGCATAGATGCATAGATGCATAGATGCATAGATGCATAGATGCATAGATGCATAGATGCATAGATGCATAGATGCATAGATGCATAGATGCATAGATGCATACATGCATACATGCATACATACATACATACAGACATACAGACAGACAGACAGACATACAGACATACAGACATACAGACAGGAAGAGGACATGCCTGTCACCTTTCATGGTTCCTGTCGTGGTGCCCTGCAAAAACTGGAGCTGCAGCGAGTAAAATGAAGGTTTCTGAGAAATCGGAACAGCTTCAGTCGATCAGAAGTGCAGGTTCAAAAGGTTCTTAAGGGACGACAGGAACAGCGGGACGGAGGAAAAAGGCGGAGCAACGGAAAGGCCAACCGTTTCAATTTACTTAGATGAATTACCTCATTAAAATGTGTAAATTCGGAAGTCAAATCGGTCCGCATTCACCTTGAGAAAGGTTCCCTCACGTGGGTCCATGGCACCTTGTCGGAGTCACCATGGAAATCATACTAGACAAGAATGGATCATTTCAGTGATCCGTTGGGAACTGAATCCCATAATTTTAGACCTAGACCTGACATTATACATATATAAATATATATATATATATATTATAATATATATATAGGACTACGGTGGCCACCAGCTGCGACTTAAATGCGCCCCGTTGCGCCACCGAAGTCCTGCGGGTACGTTTACACGGGTCCCGGGGAGGTGTCTTCGTTGGTCACCGACCCCCCCGGGACCCCGGTGACCCCCCGCGATATATGAAAAAGGAAGTATAACAGAAGTTTTACATCTATTCAGATGTTACGGTGTTACGCACTCACACACAAAGACACACAAATACACATGCATGTTTTTTTAGTCCAGTATCTGGCCACCAAGCCTGTCCCAATAGCCCCCTTTCCCCCAATTCCCACCGCCAAAACACGACTTAGTACACTTGTTATTATGTTTGCTTCCTTGTATGGTGTTACCTTATATGCTATCCTGGGTTCAAATCAGACACTGGCTCACTAGCTGGGTACTTTCCTTGATACATAGCCTACATCCATGATCTGTATACTACCTTTCATGACGGCTTTCATATTTTCGTGTATTTTCTTTGTGCAGCTGTACATCCATCTACCTAACAGTACACCACGTTGAAAAAACCAAACCCTCACCCCCTTATCGCAGCTACTAGTAGGGCATCCCATATCAAGCGGCCAGACCATTGGGATGAACGAGGGAAGCAGGGTGTCGGATGTGTGAACATGTTGAGGTAGTATTTTTTTAACAATGAATTAGGTCAATTGCGTGAGCAAAAAGTGGATTGTGTTTCAAGATGTATTCACTGTGGTATTGCATCAGAACCCAAGGTGTGAGCTGCCTCTCCATCACCGATCCGGGCGACTCAGACATCATTCGCACCTTGCCGGGTCAGGCGAGGAAGAAATGTGCAGCCTGTGTGTGTGGGTAAATGTGCTATGAAAATGTGTCATATATATCATAGATGTAGATGTATATGATATGTGGCAGAAATTCAAGGATCTCCCTTGGAGACTTGCCAGGAGTGAGCAGGCCCTGCGCAACCACTTCTCCCTTCGAAACAGGCCTGGTGGTTATATCCCAATTTTCGCAAATGTTCTCTCAACTGTTAGCAACTGTTGGACATGATCTATACTGAACATGTATATGCGTATAGATATTTATGTTCCAGGTGCTGGGTCCCCCCCCCTCATCCCCCATCCCTGGTCATGGATCCCCCAACCCCTATGTTGGCGTGGGTTGGGGTGGGAGACCGTTTTTTGTGCAGTGTGTTCATTTTGTCCCCCCTTCCCCTTTGGCGTGGGTTGGGGTGGGGAGGGGGTTGTACATGCTGTATGGGAATATAGAATAGTAGTGCATCCAAACAAGTGGTGCTGGTACATAGGTGCTATGTATGGTAATTAGTATGCATGTTATATAGGTAGTTCCTATCTTTTTGTAACCGTGCTGTTTAAGTAGTGTATAGGCAGTGTATAGGCAGTAAGCATGTAGAGTATACAGTATACAGTATTGTAGGTAGCAAGTATATAGAATATGTAGGTGCTATACATGCATATATGCATATATATATATAGACACACACACACATACGTGTACGTATTTATCATCAGTAAGAGGTATCTAGGTAGTGGATGTGGTTGCCTCCTCCCCATGGTGTGGGGGATGCGGGGTTCGATGCAGCTTATCAGTCATAGATTAGTAGGACTGAGGTAGTATATGGAAGTATATAGGTACGCTATGAATCGCTATGATTGGCAAATAGGTTGCATACACGCATGCAATGGGTAATATGACGTAGGATTACATATGAGTTGTGTATAGATACGCTATTGGTCGAAATACGTAGATGTATATAGGTAAAATGTATACAGCCTGCAGATAGTACACAAGTAGTACCGAGGTATTTTGCAGGAAGTATACGTCTCTTAAATGCTGCAAATAGCATGTGCGTAACTTGATGCCAACTGCCCAGGTGACATCTGGATGCCAACTGCCCAGGTGACATCTGGATGCCAGTCCTGCCGATGACCTTCCGGCTCTAACCTAGGGCCCTTGAGCCGCGTGTAGCCTTGGAAAAGGCGATTGCATCTCTCCGCTGTGCATGGCAGCGGAGCCTCGGTGACGACCGGGGCTCCTCGGGTGTGCTGGCTGATCTTCTCCGGGGGGACGCCCTCGGCGGCGGCTGCTAGCGATTTGCTTTCTTCTTCTTGGACGGGTGCACACCCGGGAGCTACCTTGTGATTTAGACCTTTGTGGAGAGCCCTACTTGACTGTCTCGGAGATTTACCAATTTTGTTTTGGGTTGACATCACGTCATTGAACCCTTTGCGTGCCAGTTTTGGCTGGGAGGTTTTTCGGAGATGGCAGGTTTGATGACTGGTTCCCGCATGTGGCGTGGGGTTTGAGCTACTACAGCATCAGACCCCCCCTATGGCCTCTTCTAATAGACCATTGGGTACCAGTTCACCTATGCCTCAAGTCCATTGTGATCCCAAGATTGGTTCAACCTGTAGCCCAAGAAGCCGATGGTTTTGATTGGATTGCAATCCCTGATCGCATCTCCATCCATACCAGAATGGTCAAAGACGTGTACTATCGCACCCGTGAGCTACGACAGCCTGCGGATGCGAATGAGGTCCAGGACTCGATTCATGAAGTCTCTTCGGCTTTGCAAACTCTTACCAACAGAAGTGGTTACTCACCTGCAACATGGAAGTGCTCAACGACAGTGGTGAGTATGAGTTTTCGCATACCCAAGATGCTGCCTGGAAGCGAGCTGAAGAACCGCGTCAAGCTGCCCGAAAAGTCCTTGTGTTGAAATTGACGGCAAAGAACGACGGAACCGAGCCGTGAGATCCATGCCCAGAAGGGCACGTGAAGAATGCATCTTCACAGAAGCTGAGCCCGTCTATGTTGGCGGCAGGGCAAGCGTGGCAGTCAGGCCAAGATTGGCCCATGTTTCGTCATACTCCAACGTGGAGACACGGTGTGGGTGGCAAGACGTGGTGAACTGTGGATGCAATAAGTCTCAGGTGTTCAAGATGGGCAATTTGGAGAAGCAAGGTTTGGAGGTGGTCCCACTGGAACTGCTTCGAGCAAAGGAGCGCTTGCGTTTCAACGCTGAGAAGCTTGGCTTCATTGATGTGGAGAAGGAAGGGCCACCGGACCTCTCACCTGAACGAGATCAACGACCAGCTGCAGCCCCTTCAACAGCAACAGCTGCGATCCACAGAAGGGTTCCTTTAACACCTCGAGGACCCCCTGAAGGATCAAGAACACCAACGGCAGCCACAGCAGTTCCACAAACACCGCCAATACAACACTACCACAAACACCAGCCATCCAGCAGGATGACAGCATCAGGGCACCAACTACACCATTACCAACTACTACACAACCACCACAACACAATGAAGTACCACCACTACCTGAACAAACCATTGAAATCAATGATGGTGATGACGATGATGATGATGATGATGATGATGGTGATGATGATGATGATGATGATGCTGGTGGTGATGATGATGATGCTGCTGCTGATGCTGAACCGCGAGCAAGCAATCCACCAACAGGCAGTTCACCAACAGGTGGTCCGGCAGGCCTGGTGCGGCAGGCCAGCAGGCCACAGCACCAACAACAGGTGAAGCACAACCACCACACCGCAGGACCAACAGGTCCAGATCACCACCACATGCAGCAGCAGCACCACAAACGGCAGACACACCAACAAGCAGCAACACACCTGTCAGCAGGCAGGAACCTCTGAATGATGCCGATGAGCTGTGGAAAACTACGGTGGAGAATCAGAAGGCCAAGACACCAAACCTGTGACACCAGCCGAACCTTCTTCATCACCACAGCTCCGAGCTTGGACTTGGTATGACAATGGCGCTAAGCGCTACTGAGGAACCAATTCAAATGGGCCGCTCTGGAGTGCTGTTGTGAGGAGAATCACCAGAGACCTGGACAATGGCCGAGTCATTGATGACATAACCATTGAAGGTGAGATGGGTGCCAGAGTTCTTCATCTTCGACTACCAGTCGGCATCGAAAACATTGGCACCACTTTGGTGTATCGTCAAACACCTGGACACCCCGACCCAGGCAAACTGGTATCTGAAGTACCGGAGGTTCCTGAAGATGTGCCGCTTGACAAAGAACCAGAAGAAGATGCCCGACTCATTGACTTGGGCATGAAGCGAGGACTTGATGAACCAGCGACCAGACGATCGGCAAGCAAATCGCACGAACATTTGGCCTGTGGCGCGCTGATGGCGTCACCGAGTGGGACGATAAAGCTCAACGTCCCATAGTGGCCAATGCGAGAGACATCAACTTGCTTCCCAAGCTTGCCAAGTCCGACAGCTTCTACCAGCTCAAGAGTCCAGACCAGACTTTGACTTACCTGACAAAACAGAGTGGGAAGGAATTGGACTGGAAGAAATTGAGCGACACTGAGAAAGGCATGTTCGTTGAAGCCAAGATCATTGAGATCAACAACTTGGTCAATTCCAATGCGATCAAGATCGAAACGGACAAAGCCACCATTGCCAGAATCATGGAGGAATATCCCCACAGAATCATGCCCTCTCCCTTCATCTTCACCAAGAAGGCTGGAGAAGTGGGAGAGAACTGGAAGGCGAAAGCCAGATGGACCCTGCATGGACACAAAGATCCTGACTCCTTGGGATTGGAGCGCTACGCACCAACACATTCATCAACAACAGTGATGCTTTGCCTCCAAGTGATTTCCTCCATGCGTTTTCGTTTGCTCATCGTGGATGTTAGCTCTGCTCAGATCCGCATGAGCGAGAACAAGGTCCTCTCTTTGCCTCTGGAATCCCTGGCTATGAGCCAACTGCTTTTGTACGTGTGCGAACTGCAGTCTATTGAGACGCCACCTCATTGCCCTTGGCTATCTCGTGTCTGTCTTTGACCCTTGCCTCTACTACCTGAAGGTCACTGAGTATGAGGCGAGAGACTTGAAAATGTCCGTTGCGGGCGTCGTGATGCTTGATGTGGACGATTTTTGTCAAGGTGGAAATTCGAGGCACCAAGGCTTTATGGACAAGTTGAGGGCGCAATTGAAACTTGGGAAATGGCAAGATGTGTACCAGGACTCAGCTGAGTACATTGGTCGCACTTTGCGTCAACTTGCCAACTTCAAGATCCAGGCAAGCATGAAGCGCTATATCACTGAAAAGCTCAAGGCAGTCACTTTGCCGAAAGAGCGCTTGAAGCAGAAAGGTTCACCACTTGATGAGAAAGAAACAACATGGCTTCGTGGCGTTGTTGGATCGCTGCTTTGGGTTGGAAAAGAAGGTCGTCCTGATGTGGCGGCAGCATGCGCCATGGCAATGTCATGGTCATCGAATGTTCCCATGGTGGAGCATATCTTGATGGCCAATAAGACAGTGGCTGAGCTGAAGCAGACCTCTGATGTTGTCCTCCGCATTCTTCCAATTGATCCACAAGAAGGATTTTGGATGAGTGTCGCAGACGCCTCAATGGCAAATGTGGAAAACAAATCTCAAGGAGGTTTTCTGATTGCCATGACCACCAGAGACATCATGCAGGGCAAAGCTGCTGATTTTAGTATCAATAGCTGGAGGTCCCATCGTTTGCGACGCGTGGTCAAGGCGACATTGGGTTCAGAGGCTCTTGCAATGTATGATGCGTTGGCTGAAGTGGAATGGATCCGAGCCCTATGGCATGAAGTGATGGACAGGCGAAGTCAGGTGATGAACAACGCCCGCTTTGTGAGTGAACCGTCAGTGCTTGCGATGCACAAGCCAGAAGATGAAGCTGGCATTGCTGCAATTCGCGTTTGTGATGAACAAGATGGAGTTCACGTCACTGATGCTAAATGCTCTTTATGATTTGCGGAGCCGTAGATTCGGAAATGCGGGCCGCTGCAGGCGAGCACAGATAGATGTCGCAGTGATTTGCGTATCGGCCAAAAGCTTGAATGTAAAGATGTTTTGGGCGCCAGGAAACCTGATGATCGCAGACCCTCTGACAAAGAGGTTGGGCACAGTGTCCTGTTGCGCCTTTTGCGAAGAATCATGGCACTCGGCCGATATGCCTTAGCCAAAGAATCCACTTGGCACCTGGAGGGTCCCCCTGAAGGATGTGTAACTTGATGCCAACTGCCCAGGTGACATGTGGGTGCCAGTCCTGCCGATGACCTTCCGGCTCTAACCTAGGGCATCCTAAGGGCCTTGAGCCGCGTGTAGCCTTGGAAAAGGCGATTGCATCTCTCCGCTGTGCAGCAAGCGAATGGGAGGCCGCGACCTGAAATGCTGCAAATAGCATGCGGGTGGGAAATTTTCTTGGGGGAAGAGGGCTGCCATACCATTGGGGGGGGAGTGGGGGGCTACCGAACCGGGAACCGGGAACACACACACACACACACACTGTCACACACATATATATATATTATATATATAATTATATATATATATAACTATATATATATATAATTATATCTATATATATTATATATATATAGATACTTTAAATAGACCCATACTTATTTTTATAAATATATACATATATATATAAATACACTATATACATACTATATATTCATTTTATGAAGTCTTCGATTGTCTGCCATTTTTTTGCGTGAATTTCCTCACGGTTTCTGCGCCCAGGCCCTCGCATTCGGAATGCCACGAAAAAAGTCTTGCAGCGCTGTTCTGCTGCAAGGGTCGTGCCATTTGGCTATGGCGGTTGTGAGTCGTGCCCTGCAAAAGCAGTTGACACCGTTGACATCCACAGATTTGTCTGGTTTTGTTTGCCAAACAAGTTTTTGATATCCCAATTTTGGTTATGTTGCTCTATATATATCGCGTCAAAGATGCCGCATTCGCTCAATAGAACCAGGTTAAGTTGGATGCAGTGGTTCAAAGTGTTCGATCCCAATGGTTCCGTGTGCAGAGAGAAACCAACCATTTGTGGTCAGCGCATTGTACTGGACAGTTTCAGCCGCAGAACTCTGAGGCGACTTTTTTGAATCCGCAGGCATTTCCTCGCAGCTCCTGTTGGATTGTTGTAGACTGCCAGTTGAGATGGCCACCAAAAAGCAATCCAAGGTGGATCACTCGATGGTTCACACTTGTGAAGAAGGTAATGTAGCTAAGACTGACCGTAAAGCAAACATGTCCATAGGTGTTTAAGATCACGAAAAACTAGTGTTACATAGTATGCGAGAGTTTTTTGTTGCTACTTAAGCAAGGCATAGCATGGGAAGCCCTGCTACCCCCTTGGTTTTCTCATTCATCCCATTTCCCCACTTCTTTTGCAACTCCGTGTTTGGTCTTGCGGTTTCCCAATGATCTTGAAACAGCCTAACTTCGAAGAACAAGCAAGTCGCTGACCACCGCATTTTTGGGTTTCTCTATGCTTCTCTTGTTCACAGCATTCTTCCACCCTGGGCCTGAATTAATCACAAGGAAAAACCCGAGGTAGGTCATGATGGTCATATTTCAGCTTGCATCAGATCCCCGTATAGAACCCACCTTCACGGAGATTTGTTGGACATTTGACAGGGTTGCTCCAACCCATAGGTAAATCATGGCCAAGAGGGTGGCCAATTGGCACTTTTTACAATCTTTTACTTCTATATTTTGCCAATTTTCACCCTTGTATCTAGGGTGTTGGGAGCAACCCTGCTTGATGGGAGGCTTCCAAGTCCCAAGACTCCATCAATGCAGCTCGCTTGAGGGGATGCTTTGCGTTCAAACCTGCTCCGAGCAACTTTTCAGGAGCCCCCAAAAATCCAATTGAACACTTTTTGATGACACTCTCATCTTAGTGACTTAGTGTCTAACTAAAGATTGAAGGTATCCAGTTTTGAACCATATATTTGTACCCATGCAATCTCATGCATACGGGCATGAAATTTACCATGTTGTAAGAAAGAGTGCGGGCATCTGATTTTGATCCACGCTCATGCTCATGCGCATAAATAATGAATAGATGTTTGGTATGACCTGCGATGAATATGTCATGGATACTCATGGATATGATATAATTAAACACTTACCAGTGATTTGGGCAGGGCCCTTGGTCATGAACGGTTGGATCAATAATTACCTATGAAGCATCATTTTGAGAATGAGCTTCCAACTAAACCAGCTGTTGTGGTGTGAACTACAGGGTGAAGAAGATTTGGCTTATACCGTATACCGTATACCCAACTAATATTCTTAATATATGATCTTCGCAATTTTGGTTTTGGCACTGCTTCTGAGCCACTATATTTGATGACGTTTGGGAATACACACCAGCCGCGACTTGGGAATGACCCATGCAACAGCCGGGCTTTCTGAAGATGCCAAGCCTCCTAAGCCCAAATCAGAAATCATCAGAAGTCCGTGAAACCATCCGCAAATTCACATACACACTTAAGACGCCTGTTCAGCAGATGAACCACAGCCTAGTGGTCATCCGTATGCTACGGTATTGACATGAGGCGCGATTGCAGCTGGTCATGAAGAGTGGCAAGTACAGCTTGGGTCACAAGACAACTTTGAAGACTTTGAGGTCCGAAAAGTCGTTTGCCACATTCAAAAGGCAACCCAGTGTGAGACACCCTGGCAAAGCGACAAAGGTATCGAGTTCATTAGCATATTGCATGATTTGCATGCCAATATCTTTTCAGATACATATTTCTTTTTGAAAAAGGCAGGTGATTCTCCCATCCCTTTCGGAGGCAGGGCAAGTCCAAGTTGGTCTTGATCTCCAACAACTGCCCGGCTTTGCGCAAGAGCGAGTACTTGGCTAAGACTCGACTCGCTTAAATCTGACACAGTGAACACAGCCTTCTGGGGGCGATGCTTGACAAGTAATTAGATCAAGTAATAAGGTAAACCCAACAAGAAACCATCCCAAATTGGGTTAGGGAGATTGGGCATGCCAGTTTTTTAATGATCAGTCACGATTGGATGATTTCTGATTGGATCATGAATACCGGGATCCGAAGGTTTCAGGATTAGCTTGGCCGATTTGCCAAGGATCGAGTACTATGCCATGTTGGCCAGGAGCTGGGTTTGTTCAGCTGCATTTCCATTGTGGATGTTGCTTTTGATGGAAGAGCAAAAAATATAGGAAACCACAGTACTAATCCCTTCGCCCTAATACTAAACCGTCCCCCCTAATAATAAACATCTGGAGAAGTTTTTTTTGGTATTAGGGGGTATTTATATCGTATTAGGGTGCGAAGCTTCCCCCTAATATTGAAAAAGTCTTGGTATAAAAACAAAAAAATGCTATTTCAAAATTGATTCAATGCCCTTCTAAAATCTCGAAAGGTAGCGGTGAGCTACCTGAGTTCCCCCTTGCGTAGCAAGTACTAGGGGGCGAGCGGTGCAAGTGCAAGAGTTTGGGCCGGTTATGTCTTCGTCCGCCTTTCAAGGGGGGGGGGGGCCGCCCCCCCCCCCTTCGATTCCCCCCAGGTCCGCCTCTAAAGCTGCGTTTGCAACATAGGCGGACAACAAGGAACGCCAACAGCCGCACATGCCCTTTCATCCACCACGGCGACATACATCCCCGCCCCCAACGGAAGTCAAGACCCGCACTGAAACTCGATAATGTCAAATTGCTCCAGAACTTCGTTGCGTTCACCCTAACAACCGCGACGAAAAATGTCGGAGCAAGAACGTTGCGACGGACTGCGTTGTAGTAGTTGCAAAAATCCTACCTGATATACAATACAGTTAAAGATGTATACATAGACATATATATACACATATAATTCCATGACATATTATCTATACATATACACTACACATACATAGATTTATTTTATATATATATATATCTCTCTGCCTACTCTACCCAGCAATTGTGGGATATTGCACTTTGGCCTCGAAAGGTAGCGGTGAGCTACCTGAGTTCCCCTTTGGGTAGCAAGTACTAGGGGGCGAGCGGTGCAAGTGCAAGAGTTTGGGCCGGCTATGTCTTCGTCCGCCTTTCAAGGGGGGGGGTTCCCCCCAGGTCCGCCTCTATAACCTTCTACGAAACCATCATAGAGACCTGGAAACAACGATAAGATCGTAGTAACAACGATAAGAATGGTAAGATCATCACGGTAATTCTTCTGTATATATACCTTTATAATATATCAAAACATTTGAACATATATTTCACAGATGCGAATCAGTGTGCTGCTTGCGCGGCCGGTGCAGTCGGGCTCAAATCCTTGGGGTTGAGCGACCGTTGCACCTGTGCGACTTCGTTGAGGCACCCTTGGTAGGAAAAACTGCTAAAACTAGTTCGAGATGCCCGAATGACCTTGAAACTGACCTAGACACACATCAGTTGACAGGTATGCAGGAGAACCCATCTTCTCCTCAACACTGCCGTACACGTCCTCCTCACCGGCAAAAGACTCGGTGGAATTGTCGAGTCCAGCAATTGTGAAACCGGAAGTATTATTATTATTAATATTATTACTATTATGCTATTTCACTCTTGATATGTATTGTGCACATCGTTTCTGGCGATCTCGGATAAGCGTTTGCAGGTGCCTGTGGGTGTGCATGGATTTGTACGCTTTCTCTCGCATCCATAAGCATAAAGGGTTTTTAGGCTGTTTCTGCAGGCCTTTCTCAAAGTGCAGTGTAGAGTGGGGAATCAGCAGGATAGAGCACGGTATAACCAACTTAAATATGATATCGATATCATATGAAACCCAGGCGAGACGCTGCAGGCGTCTGCAGATGCCGTCATGGAGCAGCTGAATCCATGGGTCATGGTCTCAGGTGGTTGAAAGATTATTATATTAATGTGGTCTTGATGCGTGCTTTTTGAGGATTTTAAACGTCGGAATAAATGGTAAAGTAGATGGGGATGATTCAAGCAATGGGTTAACATGATGACATGATGTGACAGTTTTGGCATCACGCCTTATGTATGAAACCGTTAGACAGAATTGAAGTTGACACAAGATTGCACGACCTGGAACGCGCAGGAAGCTTAAGGACAAAGAGGACAGGACATTCACTGCAAGCATTTTGCAGTCAGACGGATGGCAGCAGTTTTGTTGACCTTGGGATCTCGAAGATAAGGCCGGACTTGCCATTTCTGCACTAGATAAGGTGCTGGAAATGTGCATCGTAGTATTGCCCACGGACATCATGCATTATATATCATGCGCCCTGTCCGATGTCCAGATTTGGGAAGCCTTGAAGCGTCTTGAAGGCGACTGCCACTTGCTCAGTTTTGGCCCAAAAATCATCATGAACTTGTCAGCGTCAGCATTGATTTGGAGATGGCATGCCAGACCCTTCTGATTGGACTGGCAGAGTACTCACGTAAGGTACCTGTACTATTCAGAAGGACTATAAGTATAACTAGAACATAATAACATACTATAACATACTTTAACTATGGAATGATTACATGATGAAAATAATTGCCATTCTTATGACGATTTGAGTGTGTTCCTGCTACCTTGGTTTGGAGAGTTATGGCTCAGGGTTGAAACTTAAGACACAAAGGAACTATATGCCGCCGTCACTTGCGAACATAAAAGGATCGCAAACATGGCCAAGTCTGGCAGGCGATAAACTGCTGTTGCGAGGTGTCACTCGCTCAGTGTCCCGAAACGGTTCGGTTGCTCCAGATCAGGGATGTTTTGGTTAATATGTGTGTTGCAGACGTGTTGTGATATTTGCATGTACGATACAGTATGATGAAGTTGGGCAATGTAAAGATGCTGATGCTGCGGCTAGAGAAACTCGTGAGGGAAGGTCAAACTGCGGCAGCCCCAGAGTGCTGTTGCTGTCTGGAGGCTTCGGTGCAGAGCCAGGCCGAGTTCAACAGGGTTCCGGAGAATGTTCCGGAGAAGGTCTGGGAAGCTTTGGTGCAGAGCCAGGTCACGTTCAACAAAGTTCCGGAGAAGGTTCCGGAGAAGGTTCCGGCGAAGGTTCCGGAGGTTGGGGAGGCTTTGGTGCAGAACCAGGTCAGGTTCGACAGGGAGAAAGTTCCGGAGAAGATTCCGGAGAAGGAGTTCCGGAGGAGGTCTGGAGGCTTCGGTGCAGGGCCAGGTCAGGTTCAACAGTGTTCCAGAGAAGGTTCCGTAGAAGGTTCTGGGAGGCTTTGGTGCAGAGCCAGGTCACGTTCAACAGGGTTCCGGAGAAGGTTCCGGACGAGGTTCTGGGAGGCTTTGCTGCAGAGCCAGGTCAGGTGCAACAGGGTTCCGGAGAAGGAGTTCCGGAGAAGGTCTGGGAGGCTTTAGTGCAGAGCCAGGTCAGGTTCGACCGGGTTCCGGAGAGGGTTCCGGAGAAGGTTCCGGAGAAGGTTCCGGAGAAGGTTCCGGAGGTTGGGGAGGCTTTGGTGCGGTTCAACAGGGAGAAGGTTCCGGAGAAGATTCTGGCGAATGATTTCCGGAGAAGGCCTGGAGGATTCGGTGCAGAGCCAGGTCAGGTCCATCAGGGTTCCGGAGAAGGTTCCGGAGAAGGTCTGGCAGGTTTTGGTGCAGAGCCAGGTCAGGTTTCAACGTTCACATCACTGGGAGGCCCCATCCTGTATTGAGTTCACATTCTCCACTTTCCGGTTCCAGAGAAGGTTCCGTAGAAGGTTCCGTAGAAGGTTCTGGGAGGCTTCGGTGCAGAGCCAGGTCAGGTTCAACAGGGTTCCGGAGAAGGTTCCGGAGAAGGTCTGGCAGGTTTTGGTGCAGAGCCAGGTCAGGTTTCAACGTTCACATCACTGGGAGGCCCCATCCTGTATTGAGTTCACATTCTCCACTTTCCAAGTGAGACTTGAAACCGGCTTGACGAGGACCGTCATCATCATCCCATTTCCACTGGTTTCGTTTCAACAAAATGGAGGACGGTCCCAACTCTGAGGCTGTTGCAGCTGGATGATGCGCTCTCACGGCCCACGGCAGACAAACAGAGCCTCTCAGAGAAAGGGATCGATGTCACCCTGGACCTAGGACTGGTTGATGTCAAGATAGTCGAGCTAGTTTTAGCTATTCAATTTTGGCCCTGTAATGGAGATGTTTATATTAAATATATATATATATATGAATATACGTATATGTATATATATATATATACAAGACCATGGTAAATTCAATTAGTTCATTCATTTTGCAGGTTGTCGGTGACTCGGACCCTGGCAGCATTTCCGTTATTGTCAAACTCGTGAGCAGATGCTGAGGCTTGGAGAAGAGTTTGCAGTCGGTGTGTGCGAAGGACAGAACTGCCTAGCTGTTTGCGAAATAAGTTACGGCCATCAAATATTGGGGAAATTAGCTTTAATTCCATGGATATCCATGGATTAAGCAATGTGAAAAAGACACTTTCAGACAATTGGATTTTGGGGTAGCCCTCGTGGTGGATGGTACAGTGGGAGAGCTGCTGCGGCACTGCAAGGCGTCAGTTGGCATGAGATTTTCTGCCTTTTGTTGCCTTCGAAATCGATTTAATGTCCAGCAAGATGTTGTGGATTCACAGAGTCACAGAGCAAGAAATGGGTGGATTCCATTTGGATTCCAAAGTTGGTCAGTTGATTTGGAGAAAATCCCAACGTTGGTCAGCCGCGTCAGCTTCAGAATCGAGTCGTCCCACGTTGTGTAACAGCGGGACGACAGACCATCCCAAGCGATGCCAAGGAGGTCTTGGACCAGATGTGCTCTGTGTGCCTCCATCCCTTTAAACGGCGAAACTGGGAGATGGTTTGGAGATGTTGGAAGGGTTGCAGGATGCTGGTTATACATTTTCATTGAATAAGAAAATCCATTTTGGTTTTCAATGCAGCACGCGCTGCATCGAAAAACAGGGCACGGATTCTCTTTGTCAACGCGGAATTTCAAACATATCCAGACAAAGAAGGATCTGGTTGAAATTCCCATTGCCTAAGAAAATCCATGTTAGTTTTCAATGCATATTCCACAAACCCAGGAGCAGTGCTTAGTCACTGAGGACGTTTAACCATATCCCGACCGAGAAGGATATGGTTACATTCTCATTGGCTAAGAAAGTCCATTTTGGTTTTCAATGCAGCACGCGATGCATCGAAAAACAGGGCACGGATTCCTTTTGTCAACGCGGAATTTCAAACATATCCACAGAAAGAAGGATCTGGTTGAAATTCCCACTGCCTAAAAGAATCCATTCTGGTTTTCACTGCATCGCGCGGTTCATCGACAACTGACCCACGGATTCTCTCTGTCAACGATGAATTTCAATCACATCGAAAACCAAAATGGATTTTCTTATTCAATGAAAATGTCTAACCACACGATCCACCGACAAACGACATGGAGCATCTTATTCCGTGGGGACTTTGAATCTTATCCGCCTTGCTCTAGATATGTTGGAAATTTCTCCATGTTGTTTGTCGGTGGATCGTGTGGTTATACATTTTCATTGAATAAGAAAATCCATTTTGGTTTTCAATGCAGCACGCGCTGCATCGAAAAACAGGGCACGGATTTTTTTTGTCAACGCGGAATTTCAAACATAGCCACAGAAAGAAGGATCTGGTTGAAATTCCCACTGCCTAAAAGAATCCATTCTGGTTTTCAATGCGTCGCGCGGTTCATCGACAAATGACCCACGGATTTTCTCTGTCAACGATGAATTTCAATCACACCCAGAGAAAGATGGCTAAGATTGAAATTGCCATGGAACAAGATAGGCCATGCTGTTTTTCGGGTACCCCGACCGAGAAGGATATGGTTACAATTTTCATTGAATAAGCAAAAATTCGTTTTGGTTTTCAATGCAGCACGCGATGCATCGAAAAACAGGGCACGGATTCTCTTTGTCAACGCGGAATTTCAAACATATCCAGACAAAGAAGGATCTGGTTGAAATTCCCATTGCCTAAGAAAATCCATTTTGGTTTTCAATGCATCGCGCGATTCCAGAAACCCAGGAGCAGTGCTTAGTCACTGAGGACGTTTAACCATATCCCGACCGAGAAGGATATGGTTACATTCTCATTGAATAAGAGAGTCCATTTTGGTTTCCAATGCAGCACGCGATGCATCGAAAAACAAGGCACGGATTCCCTTTGTCAACGCGGCATTTCAAACATATCAAGCAGGATCTGGTTGAAATTCCCACTGCCTAAAAGAATCCATTCTGGTTTTCAATGCATCGCGCGGTTCATCGACAAATGAACCACGGATTTTCGCTGTCAACGATGAATGTCAATCACATCCAGAGAAAGACGGATATAATTGAAATTCCCACGGAATAAGATAGTCCATGCTGTTTTTCGGTGCATGGTGCGCTTCATCGAAAACCGACCAAGGAGCTGTGCTTACTAGGGATGTTTACCCATATCCCGACCGAGAAGGATCTGGTTACAATTCTCATTGAATAAGAAAATTCATTTTGGTTTTCAATGCAGCACGCGATGCATCGAAAAACAGGGCACGGATTCTCTTTGTCAACGCGGAATTTCAAACATATCCAGACAAAGACGGATCTGGTTGAAATTCCCATTGCCTAAGAAAATCCAGTTTGGTTTTCAATGCATCGCGCGATTCCACAAACCCAGGAGCAGTGCTTA